CCGGGGCACGGCCCGGTGTGCCATGCCCACCCCAGCAGTGCTGCAGGCCACACCGGGCCGTGCCCCGGGCTGTGCCCCAGGCACATCCATGTGCTTTGCCCACCGTTCCCGCTCCCCCTTCCCGCTCCGTCATCCCGGGCTCTGTGCCCGGCTCGGGGAGCAGTTCCCCCCGGGGGTGCCCAGGGCATCACCCCCCGAGCGGGGCACCCCGGGAGCCCTTTCCCACCCCTTCCCATCCATCGCCCTCCCGCTGCCGCGGCACCCAATGGGTTGCCGGGCTGGGAACACCATCCCCGGGCTGGGAACAGATGGCAGGAGGAGGCTCGGGGACACCATCAGCTGTTGTTATCGCTGGCTGATGACACGGAGTGTAAATTCTGTTGGCACTACTCCCTTCGTCTGTTCTGCCTCTGCATCCCACCAGTTTTAATTACTGTAATTGAGTTATAATGAATGATTGTGCGCTGCCATTGTCTGTAATGTGGCGGGGAGGCTCCGGTGCCGAACACACTCCAGCTAACGACGAGCCCCTCCTCGAGCTTTGTTTATCTGGTTGAAGGGTGTCATCACTTCAAATGGCACAGATAAAACAGCAGCAGAGTGGCTGCCTTTAGATGTTTATCGTTTTTCTCTTCTCAGGCGCTGGTGCTTCACTGAATCCCAGTGGAAAACTGCAGAAAGAGATAAAAACTAATTTGGCTTAATCCCTCTTGGAAAAAAAAACCACCAAACAACCGGAGCCAACGCAAAAAGCAGAACAGCACAACAGCAAAAAATCAAACCCTGTGGAGCTTTTTCACGCTGCAAAAATCATTAGTGGGGTTGGCACACGGTGCCCGTGGCAGGAGGGGGGCAGGAGCCTCTCCAGAGGGGGCTGGTGGCACTGGGGGCTTGGGACAAGGGATGGAGGGACAGGACAAGGGGAACAGCTTCCCACTGCCAGAGGGCAGGGTTAGATGGGATAGTGGGAAGGAATCCTTGGCTGTGAGGGTGGGGAGGCCCTGGCACAGGTTGCCCAGAGAAGCTGTGGCTGCCCCTGGATCCCTGGAAGT